AGCCTTGGTCTCCGAACACTTCTTGAACTCAGCTTGTGTGAAGGTGATTGATTCCCTTGGTATCCGACAACATAATTCTGTGCTGATTTCACTTTATCTACGGCGGCGGCCCTGAAACCAACATCCGGTCCTGCCTGAAAGCCCTGCAGCAGCGACGCCAAATCCATGGATTGCATTGCGGGGAGAAGACTGGGTCGTTGGTTGCATGCAGGGGTTCTGAAAAATGTCCAATAACTTTCCAGCATACCTTTTGAGCATACCTCATATCCCCTAAAGGAATCCTCATAGGGTTGGCGATGCTCAAAGGGTATAGCCAAAGGTCATGACCGGCTAAGGAGGTGTAGATGTCTTTCAGACTTTTCGGAACTTCTGCCACTCGAAATGAGTGTCCGAAGAAATCCGAAGTGAACCCGACAAATTTAACCCAGTATCAAACTTCACCAGTGGGTTGCGTAATTAAACAATTATAGCATTTTGACATTCATAACTTTAGTTGTTTGGGACAAGTCACGAGCAAATAATCCTGAGTTGTCACCATATCCTGCAGTCGGATGATTACTCGGAGCCAACAAATGCAACGAGGAGCTGGCGATTTCGAAGCAGCCCGACCGAATCTTGCTCAAACGCTCACAAAGCCCTTTTGGGGGCACCCACTTGGATGAATCTACGCCAGGTAGTCAGTGACAACCCATTTCGCTCTATAGGCAACCAGGGAACCACCGGACTGTAGTCCAGCTTCCCGATGTTTGGGGTTTTGGATTGGTGGTTTGGTGACGTTCCGGGGGGGTTATCATTTACCCTCTACAAAAGCCAGGGGTTCAATCCCCAGTTCCAAATCCACACCAAACTAAGGATTTCCTAGTCCTGTGGTTTGCCTGGATGGGCATGACTGACCCCCAACCACGAAACGGGGACCCCAATCAATCAACCAGAGGTTACTATTCCGGGGCTCCCATTACAGGATCCCATCTTGTTCCCGGCGGCATCCACATAGGCAATTCATCGCCACGTTGCCCTTGGGGTGCTAGTGGGATCTGGGCAATTAAGACTCACTAACTAAGAACTTGGAATCCCCCAGTAAGTTCAAGAAGGAATCTCCTAATAAACAAAACTTGAATGAGCTCTTGTTTTATCAATTGGTGACCTCGTGCAGTCATTTGATACCCAGCAAACTTCATAAGGCTTCTTGGGGAGGCCAAGGCCATGGACGAATGGACCAGCTGAAGCCCAAGTCTATGCCCAAAGTTGGAGGGAACCTCGGAGTTCTGATCGCAGAACGAACCTGGGCATGAGGACTCAATGAGCACACCCGAGCCTACAGGAAAGGTCTTTCTGAGGCTCTGATCGGAGGGCTCTCACTAAACCTTCCTGGGGGCTGGGACCCAAACATGGTTTGTGTATGATAGCAGTATAAGCCATCCCTATGGCGACGTTATCTCTTTGAAGAAGGTTCCCGGATCCGCTCAGAAGAGTTTATCCTTAAAGGTGAAATCGAGTCCCTTTAAAACCAGCAGGGGCGAATAAAACATATCCATTTCAGCAAATGGGAGTTTTGACCCAAACGAAACACACACTCGGAACACCGATCCATGGCCACGGGGGGAATCCTCAAGAGAGACTTCTGCCCATACCCTCCCTATAGAATCCTGAAGAGCCCAGACCCTAAACACAAAGGCCCCCCGCGCCCCCCCCCAAAAACCAAAATGGCACAAACCCCGGTGGGTGTTGCCTTTGGTTTCCCCCCCCCCCCCCGCACAGGTTCTTTGGCTTAAAACCAAGCGACGTCGACCCAGGACCAAACCCGCCGCCGATCCCATGGCAGGCTGCTCCCGTCGCCGGCTCTTCGAGGCGCTGCGGCTGGTGGCGCCGCCTGGCGATCGCCCGGTGGCGTTCTGCTCCCCGGCTAAAGGCTTATAGCTGTTGGTGGGTTTAATAACGGGAAACCCGTTGGTGCGCGAAAAAAAAGTGGTCAAGTCCTGACATCCCAAGCAAAAATTGCAGCAAAAAGACCAACTTTGCGGGGGTAGTGGGGAGGTGGTGGGGGGGTGGCGGGGTGGCTGTGGCGGAGGGGGGGGAGGGGGAGGGGGAGGGGGGGGGGGTCCTAGCTTTGTGCTTTCGACACCTGGAAAAAACAGAGGAACAGATGCGCTTCCCTCGAATTGGCGGCTTTGGATTGATGATCTTTGCTGTTACTGTGTTTTGGTTGCCCCATTTGGGCGGGGGGTTCCTAAAAAAATAACGCCCACATGTTCGAGGGCTCAACATACAATCATTCAGTTCTTTCATGAACCCCAAGAAGCCACGCGTTGATTCCTCCCCGCCCTTGGTTTGCTCGGGAAGGCCGCGGTAACGAACCGAACGGTCCCGCGGTCTGCTTCGTTGTCTGCTTTGTTTGTTGTTTGCTGTCGGGGCTAAGCATCTTGGATCTGAGAGGCTGAACCCTCAAACAACCCTATTGAGCAAATCGCAGCCCACAATTATGATGCGCCGAGTTCAACCATTTGTTGGGTTGCAACCATTTCTCAAAATTGGGTTGCAACTTGATTTCATGTCTGCCCTCAAATAAAGGACATCAACACATTCCTTTGCGGCAATATGCCATCTTTAAGTGTAGTTTGAGGGTCCAGGCAGAAGTTTCAATCAAGAGCCCTAGGCTGGAGAGCTCGCAATATGCTCGGCTCCTTTCAGATGTTCAAAATCATGGCGTGCTTGATCAATGGGAGGCGTCCGGCTATCTGGCCACATGAATATGCGACAGTACGAGGGTGTCAGTGTGTGGTTTCAACCTCGAGTATCACGAACGTTCCCGCTGTTGTTTTCCGAGTTTCATGTTCGATTGGTGAAGTGGGCGACACAAAACCTTCAACCCGAAACCATGAACCCATGAAGTTGGATTTGTCGCAACCCGAAACCGTGAACCAGTTTGCGGGCGACACAAAACCTTGAGGTGCCGGAAAAAAGTACATCCAAGCATGGCGTTTTGATTCAAATGGCCGTCGCTTTTTTAGGAAGCCTTCAAAATTGCGGCTGTCCTTTTGGCTTGCCTTTGACACCTACCAAAATAAGAGGTAACTTGGGGAATGTATAAGAGGCGCGGTCCTTGGTTGACCTGGTTGTAACGCACCAACGCCATGATTGTGAGTCCCCCACAGCCAGGGCTACGAACCATTCAGCGATCCGTCCCAGACCATCTATGTTCGTGGTTCAACCCTAGGCGAGGACAGTAAAAGACCCGCGTGCCACTCGATCAACTGCTCGAGCCGTCCCGTGCAGACCATAACAAGTCCAGCCATATGGCAACCGTTTGGCAATTACAGCCACTGCTGGCTTTCATCGTGACAAACCTTTCGATCACTGTTTTTGTCTTGCCAAAAAGTATCAAGTCCGGAAACTGGGGAAGTGAGACACCTACTGCGCCTAAAGAATGAACTGAACAGGTTAAGCTCAAGAGGGTGTCCAACTCCCGGCATTCCCTCAACCTTTTGGGGGGTGCTGTAGGCAACTAAGGTTGCCACTTTGTGGTACCGGCACTGTGCGCTGGCGAGGAAACCAACCCTGACACCATCCCGCCGGGAGACACGAAAAGGTTGTCTTGGAACCTTCTTAGAGGTTCTGGGATTCCTTTTGATGTGGCTATGTATCGTAAGAGGGAACCCCTCTTAAAGTCGACTGGAATCTTGACATTGATGTAAAGCTTGTCCACCATGCCATTCCAAGCATCCGTCCAAAGTCCAATCTGTTCGCCGCCCTTCCATTTCGAGCCACTCTTGAAACCCCGTATGGTTTTCCAATACTCTGCAGGTGATCACCTTGGGGCCTTAAAAGGGCAAATGGTCGGCCTTGTGCAAATAAGGTCGCTCACATACCCAGAAAAATCGGTTGCCGCCAAATTGGTGGGGAGTTCACTCATTTTTCAGGGGGCAGTTCTTTTGAGTCTCCAGGCACCTGCAACCCGACGGCTCCGGGCGAGTGTGCCTGAGACGATGCCCCGATTGAGGTCATCATGAAGACCCTCGAGGATGAAGTCTAAGAACTCCTCCGACGTCGCGCGAAGGTCGCGCCCGAGCATGTCTCTAAATGGCCATCTTCCCTCTATTTTTGGGGTTTGGAGCCTGGTGGTTCTGGTAAGGAGGGGGTTCCCATTGTCCACAATAAAGGGATCACATCCCAAACCACCAACAAAATGGTGCCCGAAATGAAGGGCTGTGTAAAAAACAAGTGCCCCGTCCGAGTCAAGAAACAACAATCCCAACAAGGCTCTGCTTGGGTGCATGCCGGAGATGGCGTTTCTCTCCGTCTACCTGAGCCCTCCGTCTACCCTAAGCCCTCCCAACCACCTCTGCTCACTGAATCGATCGCCTGAACTAAAGACACCATTATCGGTGTCTCGAAGGGGACCAATGAGGGTTCGGTCCGAAGTAGACATCCGATCCAGGCTCCCCCACTCATCCAAAACTACTGAACCTGGAACAAGCCCCTCTAGAAAACAACCACGGACGAAAGTTCTGTTCAGCTTCGATTCAGTCAGTTGAAAGCTTACCAATGCACAACCCGAAGCCCTATACCGCTAAACCCACAACAACACAGGAAGCTCTCATTATCCCAGAGCTTTCAAGCCACGGAACATAATAACCAAACTCTTGGCCAACAATCAAAAACAAGACACCATCCATTTGCCCACGCAACACCAAATGAACAACAAACAAAGGGAACCCACTCCCAACAGAACAAGACCCCATGCCCTCCAGGCAAGCCACGCACACAAGTACAAAAAAGTGGGACCCATGCAACATAGCCATCATCCCAACATACCAGCGATCATGGGATGCCCATTGAGGCACTTTTGGCAGTGAGGTCAGCCCGAAAATAGAGGGATCCTCCAACATGATGGTCTTCTTTTTGGCCTCCTCTAAGAGCAATATGTGCCAAATGGACCTTTGAGCACAGTCGTTTTCTTGTGTTCGACCAGACTAGAGTTACAAGCGGGGTAATGACCCCTTCTATTTTGGGCAATGACCCCATTTCATATCAAGTTTAGAGTCATGGAGACTCCAGGTACCCCCATCACACACACAGAGACCACCCCCTAGTAATAAGCGAAAGCGGTTTACGGGTCCGCGGCTTCGCTGGGTCTCGGATTGGGGCTTTGACTCTCTCTCCTGCGCATCGTGCTGCTCGTAGCCGGCGAACTGGGGGGCGAACTGGTCGATGGCTCGCTTGAGGTTGCGCGGGCTCACCACGGCACCTGTCGAGGCGAAGAACTGGTGGCTCCATGGAAGCGTTTTGCACCTGGAGAACTGTTGCTGGTTCTCCGTAACGAACGACCTTCCGAGTTTTGGGGATGAACTAAAAGGGCCTTCCCTAAGAAACCATGCTTTGTTTGTCTCTCCGGGGTTCTTTTGGCAGACCCCTCTAAACTTCTGGTCCGAAACAAAGAAGACCGCGGATAAAATTTAGAGAGGCAATACAGAACAGTTTCCCAAACGTATTTCCAACTGGGGGCGGAAAAACCGAATAGATTTCTATTTGGTGGGAACAACCATAGCTGCTGTCCTGAGGTGAGACAAAAGCACAACACAAAATATGACCCCATGCCCTGGCAATACTAGATTCATAACTCAATACTGAACCATACTGTGGGTGGACGAAATCCTGCACCACCGTGCAGAAACCCTGGAATGATTGGATTCCCCTGTAAAGCAAGGTTATGGTTTCAACGTTTCAACTCTGGTTTCCAAAACGGATTTCGTCCATCTAAAGTACTAACGCATGCTAAGCCAATGCTCAGCCAACTCTGCCGCAAAAACAACAGAGGCCTCGAAAGGCCAATTCTATGACGCCCTTTACTTAACCAAGCAAACGTTCAAGGGGGTAGTACATGGAAGCCGTCCGAGATTCTTCCGGAGAGACAAAATGCTCCCCCCCCCCCACCCCGGGAGAAGGGACAAAAGGACCTGATGGATGAATGGAGCCCTTGTGGATTCATGGGGAGGGGGCTGTTCGATTTCCTTTTGGGGAGGGGGCTGTTCGGCGTCCCGCGCTTTGCACGGCACCACCTTTGAACTACTTTGCGATGATTGGCATGGGAGTGTGATTCGTAAAGCCTCCACCAAAATGGGGGAGGGGTCAGAGCAAAACCAAAAACATCGGGGGTCAGAGTTGGGCCTCAAGCAACCTCGAAGTACTGCTTGGTACTGGTTTTGAATTGCGTTAGTATTCCTTTGGCCCTGCACTGTCCAGAAGTGGTTCGGCATTCCTGTGCACTGGTTCAGTGGTCTGTCGACCTGGTTCAGTATTTCTCTGGTATTCGGTACTGGCCCAGATCTGTTTATGTTGGTCTCTATTTCGTCCCCCGTCAACATTTATTCTTACTGACTCCTCGGGGCGTACATGGTTGAGGTCCGCTCACCCACTGTCGATCACTGACTCCCGCTTGAATGGGGAGTCCTGTTTCGACGCCTCGGGCAACCGCGCTGCAACCGGGACCAAAAGGAAATATTAAACCCCGTGGTAAGTCTCTCTTCCTTGGATTCCAGCAATTCCCAGGTCATTAACACCCTTGTCCCGGCTGACTAAGGTACATGCCACAGGCAGATACCAAACCCATGGCGCAACTTGCGGGCACACCGAGCAAAAACACATGTTCAGAGTCTATGTCATATATATTCAAGTTCACCTCAAGATGCGTTATTTTGCTAATATATGTATATATACATATAGAAACAACAACAAAAAAAACAATGGCGGAGATCCCCGGCGCAAAACAAAACGGCCCATTGGCGTCCCAGGCGCTTTTGCCGGACCACAGCTCCAGCAGCACGTGGCCGAACTCTTGCGCCAGGCGCCCCTGGAAATCGAAGACCCGAAAATCAACAGGGATCCTCAGTCATTGGGGGGTCCTTGTGGGGTAACTTTGTCAAGTTTCTGCGCTTGGTGCTTGGGTTTGCAACATTTGAGTGCTAAAGGGGGAATGACGTGCTTATCTGGCCCCAGCTTTTACCCTCCCGCCAACTAACATGGAACACAGGGAAATGGTCCCTAAACAGGACATTGCCTTGTAGATGGTGGTTTCCCTTTATTTTGGTGGAAAAAGCCACATGTTTGAAATGGGCAACATGTATCTTTTGAGGAGCCCTGATCAAAGGCGAACCATTTGAGGTAATGAGTAGATATGGACGAAACACGGAAGAGTCAAAGGTTAAAAGGTCGGCTCCGAACAACTGAGAAACTGATTTGGCCTTGACTTAAAATAAACAAGAAACGAACCAACAGTGGGTATACTTGTTGAAATGGAGGACTATACTCCAAAATGGATCCAAATGGTGGCGCTTCTTCGGGCTTCCTTGAAAGCAAACCTGGAAAGGGTACCCTCAACAAAACACGCGCGCAAACCGTTGAGCGCAAACTTGGCTCCAACGCTGGACCCTTCAAAGGGGCTCTGCAACGGATATATTTAGCAGCTGGTTGAACCAAATCGATCCTCGGTGTCCACCCTACGGGGGGACAAGCATGTACCGTCCTCCCGCCCTCCTCTGCCTGGTGTGCCTCAAGTATGAAGAACTAGGGTAAAAAATGCGCCGGATTGGGGCGGTTCAAGTTGGGATCCGCAGGTCCGGCATGATGCTCTCCCACCTTCCGCAATCCCTGGTCCAAAAGTCACTTGGGCACCTTCCGCAACCAAAAAGAAAGGATCTTGTCATCTTCCTCGCGAGGCCCTCGGTCGAGACCCAGCCCCTTCATGACCAACTCTGCGACCCACAGCTACGTGGCTGTGTTCTAAACCGGGGAATCCCCCAAAAAACAAGTTGGTCCTCCGTCTAGCGTTCCTTAACCCACCAAGCCAAATGGTAATTACTCTCCCGTCAGCACATGGACCCGTACGGCAACTGGGTACCAAGCCCTCGGCCCTCGTGGCACCTTGAAGCCACTCCGCAAAAAAATGGGCTACCCTCGTCCCTTCAGTTTGCTAGCGGTGCCCATGCCCTCGATGCCCCGTCGATGAGAACTTCCTCGCCTTTGAGCTGGAGCCACGGCGCTCAGAGATATCTCGGAGGTGCTGCGAGGACAAGAAGTACTCGCGCCTTGGTCCGTCTGCCAACCCGGTCCGCCCCAAATGGGTCCCAACCCGCGGCCATGGGAAAGCACCAGCGCCATGGGGTGGTGGTAGCTGACCTTGGGGATCCGATCCAAGTTTGGCGAAAGCAGTCATGAAATGATATGTTGGTTTATTGGTTGAGTGGCCTGCTTGTTGTTCTCTGCTGTCCAAGACGTGTTGTTGTCCCTGGAACTCCTTTGTGGTAAAAGGCAGAATATGTTCAGATTCTGGCGGAGACACAGGAAGAGGAGCAGTTGAAGGCTGATAATCCCGGAAGAAGGTGCCTTGGTGCCCTGTGGTTCGTTGGATTCTCCCGTCTTCACGAGATCTTGCCATGTGCCTTGACCATGCCAACCAGCAGTCGCCCCAGGCGATCTCTCTCACCCGTCGAGCTTTTCTCTGCCTCGGGAACTCCAAGCTCATGGGCGGGTGCAAGTTTGCGATTTTCCTCCGTGGCACCGAGGCCTGCGCATTCACCACACAAACTGCGCAACTGATGGTCACCCTCCGAGAAAGTCAGCCTGCCAGCTTAGCACCGTCGACTCTGTGCCGCATCCTATCACGTAAAGATCCACAAATGCGACGACCAAGAAGCAAAGCGATTCACGCGGGAGCGTAGAGGTCAACCATGTCTCCGTGCAATGCTGAATCCCTGAGAAAGACGCATGCACCGACCGGACGCAGCCAGGGAGCAGGGCGTCCCTCGATAGGGATACTGTGTCCTTCTGCCCAAAAGTCGATGGGTTTTATGGTGGGTTCTAGTGGCACGTGAGGTCAAACACAAGCTGGGTGGATCCCCGGCAAATAGCAAAATCAGCTTGTGCTGGTTCAGTAGAGATTTCCCTGTAGCTTCCCACAAGCAAAATTACAACATGCTTTGTCGGATCGACCAAAGACCAGCATGGTTGGAGAATTTAATGAAAATGGAGATCTCTCTGCGATTGCTGAGCGGGTCTGAAAAAACGGCGCTTGCAACAAAGGGAGGCGAAAACCGCTTGGAGAGTCCTCCCACATCCATGCTTCCCACCGCCCCACCCCCCACACACAAGACCAAAAAATGCAGCAGACAACTACTGTCTTGCGTGTGCAGCCAAAATGGTGGTGTTCACCTTGATTCCCCTTTAAGGCAACCTCACATAACGGGATACCCGGGGTACCCTGAAGAAACACCCAATAATTCACTGCGGGCCTCCGCTAATTCACTGCTACGGAACTTCTCTTTTTCTGGAAAACACATCTGCAAACGCTACAATATGTCAAGCCCTGAAATAAGGGATCTCCAAGCTAAAGGACATCCCCCATGGGTGAGCTCGTTTTATCTCAAGGTGAGCTCGCCATTTCAAGTTGGCAGAGGCAAAAACATCACTAAGCGGGCGGCACCAGTGGGGTGTTCACCATACACTGCAGCGTCGCCTTGGCATGGAGAGATGAGCTGGGGTTTTCCCCTGCCAAGTCTGGCGAGGTCCTCCAGTAGAGAGGTTAGAGATTTAGGGTACCCGATTTTTTCTTTGTTGTCTATTGTTGTGGGGGAACCCTCCCAACCAAAAAAGGGGTGAGAAAGGGCACCTAGCTGGGGGACCATTTTGTTGAGGGTATGCTTGTTGGGTTGCTTTGAAGGGGAACCAAAAGGAACTTGTCTTGCTGGTGCTCAGTAAGTAATGAGAGAGCCATCTAGGCGTGGGTTGCCTTGTGGGAACCCTGTTCGGGTGACCCATGATGTAGTAGTGAATTTCAACTTAAACCACCTCAAAAGTGGGGACATGAATTCGAATCTAAATGAAGTCTACCAAAGGGTCCTAAATATAATTAGCGCTCATTTCAAAGTGAATTTTCCAAGAGTCCAGAAGCTGGTGAGTGAGCATGTTTCCTCAACTCACAGGAACTTGCTTCAGTGGGGAAACAGAACATCCCCCTTTTGTTGGTTGACTTTGAAGAAGAAAAAAACGGAGGGGGGAAAAAAGAAAAGAAAAAAACATACAGACAAAAAACTGCAAAACAAAAACTGAAAAGAAAAACAACTGAAAGGTCTTCGTTTAAGTCAGCCCCAAGGGAAAACATTGGGACTCAAGGGTCCCTGAGCCTCAGACCCCCATTGGACTACTTGGCGGAAGCGCCGTCAAGCCCAGCTCCAAGGTGTACTTTGGACTCACAGAATGCCAGTTGATAGTTACAACAGCTGGCTTTTCCCAACCACAGAGTTTCATCCATGCCAACTGGCGCCGATCGCCGTGGAGCTTGGCCATCCGTGGGACGACAAGGCAGCAGTAACCGCCTACAGATCTCTGACTTGGCCGAGTTGTTAAGTCGGATTCAACAACCAGGAGTCTTTGCGACTTTGGAATTTGGCAGAAGATCACATTGTGGGACCAACCACTATCAAGCCAACATTAAAAGCTGCAGAGGCAGACAGCGTGCGCCGGGTGCGCGTGTGTGTGTGTGTGTGTGTGTGTGTGTGTGTGTGTGTGTGTGTGTGTGTGTGTGTGTGTGTGTGTGTGTGTGTGTGTGTGTGTGTGTACGAGCGTGTCAAGGGCCCACCACCAGCGCAATCTCGCAGCAGGGGGCTTAATAGAAATACGCACTGTTAGGTGCGAAAATCGCCTCTGTTGGGATTGGGGCGCTTTTGGGGGGCCCTTGACAACCACCCTAAGCATCATTGGACTCCATTGGAGGAGTCTGGATCTCCACCGGAAGGATTTGGACCGTGAAAACGGCCTGTTGACATTCTAACGGCCCTGGTGACATTCTTTCAGCATAGAAGTTTGGAAGTCCCCAAAACACCTGAGGCCATGTGTGTGTGTGTGTGACAGCGCTGGGCGCGGGGCGTTCATGAAGCAGGTGTTGCCCAAATTCGTGAGGCCTTGGTTGCGAGGCGCGTGTTTGTTTGAGTGGTGTAAAGGGAAGCCAAAAGGAAAACCACCACTTTGAAACTCCAAATCACTTCTTGTTTGGACATCCCTGTATGTCCAGCCCAACAATAAGCAGGAAACTCACTTGAGCGCCTGCTACACCCATTAACGGTTGGTTCCGTACAAGCCTTTCTAGAAACCCCAAATCAGGTTGTAGAACCACCTACTAAAGCGAGCGGCCTGCAAGCGGTGTTGGGCGCTGCTCATTTAAAAGTGACAAAATAGGTGATACTGTGAAAGAACCAAACAAACAGGTGTGAATATGTATATTATGTAATATATTGTATACTACTAGTAAATTATCAATGACGAAACCGATCAAATCCCACTGACTTCAAGCCAAATCCGCTTCGAAGCCAGGGTTGCCCGTTAGGGAAATGATCAGAGGACAGCTGTGTTGTGCGTCTCGGCCGTAGGCCGATCCTACGTTTCCAACTGGCGGAAAGACAATGCTGTACAAAGCATAGTGGAAAGTAGAAAGACACCCTGGTAACCTCATACTTGCGGATTTGAGAATCTGTTGCTTGAAGCAAACCCACCACCGTAAATGGGGTACTTGGACCCTCCGTGCTAGGAAGACAGTCCAAAACCGTTTGGATGTGCCATGAAGTTCCCCCTGCTTCAGGGACCCAACCCCCCAAAAGATCCTTGCCCAAACGCAAAGGCCTTATTGATCCGTATTGTTTTTTTTTTTTGGTCGGCCTTTATGAGACTTATAACAACTTATAACCCCCTTGACTGTTTGGGGGGGTTGATGTGTGCAGGGTCTCTGGTTTCTGGTGCTGTGGTTGTCCTAGCTTGATATACTCCTTCGGTAACCAAAAAGAGCGGACCCACGATCGCAAAGCATCCATTCACGACGATCTCATTCAACTTCCTTTCGGCATCTTTGTTAATTTTATTTTCCAGACAACATACAAACAAGTGCGGCTTCTTGATCATAGTTTTCCGGGGGCCCGATTTCGGCCCGCCGCCCGCCTGTGGCGCCCGGAACGCCGGACCTGGGCGTTCCAGTGCATCCGAAGCTCTGAAATGGCCCGAAGCCGCGGTACACAGAAAAACATATTTTCGGTTGCTTTCTGCTCCCCTGCTAAAAGTTTTTTAACTTTTAGTGGTTTAATGGAAAACCCATTAGTTGGCAACAAGTTGTTCAGTCCTAACATCCCTTGGCAAAAGGCACCAACGTATTCTCTGGTTCTGCTTCCTGTTTCGTCAACCCTGACCAACATGAGAACAGGAGAAAAAGCAGGACACCCAAGGCTCTCAAGCCCAAATGGCCCGGATCCATGTAGATTCTACTGAAAATCTCTGGCCTGTGGCCCCCGGAGAAAAAAAACAACTCCACCAAGCTATACCACCTGAGGGCAAAAAGACACCAACTCCCAATGATCATTCCTTTAACAAATTTCCGGAGGCTTTCCTCGAGAGGTGTCTCTTGGCGTACATAAAGAACATACAAGGCTCCGACTGCAAACTCCTAAGCCATGAATCAAGCTGCTGGCCGCATGGTTCCGTCCGAGTCACCCCTTGAAAGACAGGTTAGAGGAAACCAGCGAACAATAACTCTGACTGTGATACCCCCCAAAACAGTCAACATGTTGGACCCCAGAACTAGCTAAAGTGTGGAGTGCCCCCTAAACGAGGGTTCCTCACTTTCGGAAACACGGCAGCTTGATGAATCTGGGGAGAAACCTTCAAATGTGCCAATTCCGTTGCATCACAGTTGTGGAAAATCATCATTTCTGCAATACGGTTTAGTGGGAATTTCATCGGGATTTCCACAAGCGGATCGCAGAACTTGGTACAAAACAATTCCCGCATCGCCGGAATGTGGTCCCAATTGTGCAAAATGGCAAGGACCCCTCATTTCGACGATCTGACAAGCAAAGCCTCTCATTTGACAACGCACAAACACACACACACACAGACACAGACACAGACACAGACACAGACACAGACACAGACACAGACACAGACACACATGACGCACTGCACCGGGAAAGACTAGACAAACACGAAATGTGGTGCGGTTGGGAGTCACCATCGTCAAATTTGTGAGCGCCCCAAACCTTGCCTGGTTTTGAATGGGATACTCAGCCTGTACAAGCCGTTATTTATGCCCGGACCCTTAAACTACCCTTAAACAATTGTACATCACCCTATATTGTGGGGCAGACACCCGTTTTGGATGGTCCAGCTGCCCTCCCAACAAACGTGGTTTGATACAAGCCACCCTCAACAACAAAAGGTTTCGTCCGCCAAATGCTCTTCGCACCAATCCATGTTGGTGGAAGGGCTCGTTTGCAAAGATCATCAAAGATCCATGCAATCTTCGCCCTCTTCGGAATCTGGGTTTTCAACCCCCCCCGCCCAACAACCAAAACAACAACAAACAAAAATTGTTTCCAACTGAAGAAGCTGCAAAATACCACGGCTGCGAGTTCCCCTGGTACCACACATATACGAGGCCTGGACAAAATGACATGGGAGAAGTTGGTGCCCGGGACCCTGGTTGAGGGAAATTTAGGGTGCCCCGCCTCCCACGCAGAGGTCCCAAGCCCCAAACAACTTTTTGGAGAACCCAAAACCAAGTTTTAAAGGGTGGGTAGTTTGTTGATGTTTCAAGGCAACTGCTTGACACTGGTGCTGCTGCTCATATCGCGCATAAAAGCCACATAATGTTGATGCAGGAATAATACAACCAATTTTCCAGGGGCGTTTCGGGATCCAATAAACCATGTATTATATACTCTGACGTGGGTTTTCGGGACCACCCCTAATTTGTACGGCACGTTCAGCAGAACCATTTTCCCGCACAAAAGTTCGATTGACTTCACTTCCAGCCCACTTAAAGCTTTGACCAAGTCCCGGAGGTGCCCTCAAACCTGCAGAGCGGCCACCCACAACTACCTTCTCCCGCGGAGGCCGTTTAATCGGAGCTTGGACCTTCTGGCAAAAGGGGAGTTTGTTAATCCGACGTTTACAATATTCATTGTATCCCCAACATGGGAATCTGGTGGGTGACCCCCCGTTTCCCAATGTGTCCGAATGTCAATTTGGGATGGCATCCTCACTGGCATTCCCTTCACTGCAGACTCTTTATCAAACCAGCTCGGGAAAAACAAAAACACATCCAGTTTCTGGCGGAAACTTGGCAAAAACACGAAGAACTTCCTGTAGATGCTGTTCACTTCAACTGGCAGTACATACAGCACTGAACAAACAGCATCTGAGGCTCCCCCCCAAAAAAAACGGCTAAAAAACAAGGTTAGAATGTTAACGGTGCTGTTTGTTTTAACCGGGTTGTTCCCTGTAGCGCGTTTTTCTTTTAAACTGTCAATACTCAGAAAAATGCCGCGCTGAAGCTCCCTGCGTCTCCTCCGTCTTGTCGCCTTCCGCCTTGCCCTGGAATAAATCAAAAAAAACGCGGACACGTCGCGGAGTGCGAGCGGTGCAACCCACAAAAAATGGTGAGCGTCCTGTTGGTGTCTCTTTAAGCACAACAAACAACAAGGTACCCTTCACAAAAACAGACCCGTATGGAATTTGAAGGATTTGGGGAGTGACCCTGGCTGCCTCCATCGACATCCTCAATGTTTTGCCTCTGAATGGGTCGGCAGGCTCCCCCAAAACTGCAACGACACCCAGTGACCCAACAGTTGAAACAGCCAACAAAAACGAGGTCTTGAAGATGGACAACCGAAGCCCCACAATGGATTTCCACGTGGCAAAAGAATTGGCACTCTCGCTTTGGTAGTTGCTTTGCAAGAAAACCCCCGTCCAGAAACAAGGAAGACAGGGCAACTGGATGCAACTGGAGGTCTGGGAAAACGTCGGGCTTTCAAAATGGTGGGTAAGGGACTTGCTATGCAAACAAACATGGGCTTCGAAGATGGTGAGGGACAGCAACAGCACCGGGAAACAAAACAACAGGTTGTGGCTCAGCACTTCATTAGGCCGTCTGAGCAACATTGGTCTCAAGCCAATCGTTCAAAACTAAGCTTTTAGATCCGTCCTCACAGGCTCTCAGAACGTTAGAGGTGATCGAAGCTTTCTACTTGGATGTTCATCCAACACCCTGGTGAAAGAAGTCAAACTCCTGTCCCTCTCACCTTGGTTACAAGCTACCTGACGCAGGTTGAACATTCAATCAAACCAAAATGTTCCACCAGGGTGCAACCTCAGAGCCCATTGAGGGCTCCTCCTCCTCCTCCTCCTCCTCCTCCTCATCATCATCATCGTCATCATCATCATCGTGATGATGTTCATGTTCATACTCATGCTCATTCGGCATCATAGCTTGTTGCAGAGGCCTTGAATCCCGAAAACCAACACTGTCAGCTCTAAAAAAAAAAAAAGAAGAAACAACCACCAAAAAGCTCAAGAAAAAAAACAATCGGAACCACCACGCTCCGATCGGGGAAGGTCCCCGCCCCGAACCAGACCGCACATCACGCGCCCGAGCGCATCGAAGGCGTCGAGCCCCGGCCGTGTGGGAGCCCAAGGTCGCCAGGCGCTGTGAGGAGGTGTGGATCCACTCGTCCGACTTGTAGACCGTGGAGTCGAAATGGACCTTCACCTGCGGTAAATTGCCGTTTTTTTTTGTTTTTTTTTTTTTTGTTTTTTTGCGGGGGGATTGGTGTTGGTGGGTGGTCGGAAAATTGGGAGGTGCTTCTTCTGACATAAAAGGGACGTGAATTTTGGCAGGGGAGCCTTTGGTGGACATAGTTCAGGGGTTCATGTCCAGCAATTGAGGTGGTTGTGTGAAGTTCGGGGCCAAAGCGCTAGCCCCATGGAACCTTCCAGTACCCTGAAAGCTGCCCGCTGATTTGGGCAAAGATCCCCAAATCTTTCAGATGTTGGGAAATGGAATAGTGATGACCCGGGATGATCGCACAAACAGGGGGGCTGCTAAACCCAGAGGTTGATCAAGGGATCCGAGCCATGTTCGCTACTGCAGGCAGGGTGCAGCCCATTTTTTTGAAGGGATCTGCACATCTTTCGGGAAGGAGGCTCGGAGGCTGGGCGCATGTCCCCGATGCAAAAAATGCCGACCGATATGGCCGTGGCTCAAAAACTCGATACCAAAATGGAACCCTGGTAAATGGACACATGGACCAAACCCCGCGTGACCCCTCCTGTTTAATTTTGAGCCACACCTAATATGTTCGTCCGCTTATGAGCCAACGCTGAGCAGCTTTTGTGATGGAGGGTTCCAATGTTTGTCTCACTTGGCCGATGACCAGCCATTAAAAAGTGTACAGTGGTTGGGCCACCACTGAACCAAAGGGGAAGCCACCAAGAACAACATAGCGTATTTCGTGCATCGAGAAGCGGCCAAGGCGAGTTTGACGTTGGACTTGCCTTCTTTTGACGCGGTTTCTTCGTTGCTCCGTGCCAATTCCGCAGTTCCAATTTTGGCGAATAGCGACTAATAAGTATAAGGTGTCATAGGGGCTGATAGGGTTCCTTTTCTTTTTGGGTGGCCTGATGACACCCATGAGACAAACCCTGTTTCCCACAACCATCGCATAAAGCGAGCAACACATCGCGCCTGTGATGGGGTGGACCCAGATCGTAGAACCACATCCACGATTGTGCCACGCCTCGGTTTGCGAGAAATCGATTTGCTGTATCGGTCTAGGTTCAGTTTACGACGATGCATTGACGAGGGGCTTCTTCCTTGGTCAATAGCATCATTCATCCCTCATAATCTGTATGGGGACCTCACCAAGAGGCATTTTGAGGTCCAAACCCTTCCAATGGCGATCCCTTGACGACTCCAATGTAGGATGCTTGGGGATGCACAATTCCAGGGCTAACATTTGTCTTTCTTGCCAGAGATCCGAACACAATTTGAACAGAATGAACACGGAATCAACCTCCAGAGAAAGTCTATAAGTGTGAGGACACCGCCAAAGGTTCTTGTTTTCCCTTTAACTTCTGGTTTACCAGGTTGCTCCTGAATCTCGGGCACAAGGGCATACCTGTGGTTTGCTGAAAATGGACACGAACGGAAACCAAGCCGAGGAAGAGCTGCTCTTGGCGTTTGGTCCCAGGCCAAAAAAGCACTAGCTTATTCTTGGGGCTGGCTTCTCTTTCTGAGAAACCACTTCTGCCACGGTCAAACTGTGGAACAAATATTCAGAATGTTCAGAACCTCTGTCAACCCAACACAACTTCTAAAAATGACACAACCATTCTTTCAACCACCCCCAAACTGGGCTGTCCTCAGCTCCCCCGCTAAAAGTTTAACTTTTAGTGGGTTGAATGGAAATCCCCACTAAACCTTAAAAAGCCAAAACGCTGAGGAACCGGATGGCTGGGAGCTGCCAAGCAAACAAATCAACCACCCCCAAACCCTTGCCCTCGGCACGAATTCGTCACGAGTTCGTCCTAGGCCTTCGGACAACCACTGGCCAGTGCCGCCCTTCGCCTGCATCCGCTGTCAGGGCGGCCACAAAATGTGAACAGCGAGTGAGGCAGCGATTCGACGTCCATTCGAAAGCGAAATATGGTGGTCCTTCTACTCCCTCAGGGGGCGCTCGCGGGGGGGGGGGGGGGTACGATGTTAACCCCCTCAATAAGTTATCGTTGTACCTGCCTGGGGGGTAGTAGGTAGTCAACAATGTTTCCTGTTGGAAGGTTCCTTTGCTTGCCTACTCTACAAATAATATGTAAGCACTGGGAAGGGTCAGGGGCATGGCCCCCAAAGCGCTGGAAAGCGCGGGTCTTCGGCTGGGCGTGTTGAAGGGAATTGATCGGATTTGGGTGTGAGTTCTTGGGGAATCTGAGGTGTTATGTCCACCAAACGTGTCTGAGGGTCTGGGTTGGGTCTGTGGGAGGCTGGATCTGTACTTGGATATCAGACATGGATCTGGTTGGATTGGACCAAACAAACAGGTCAAGCAACACATGATGACTATGCAATTGTGCCAAGGTCAAAAATGCATATGCAGATCATGGTCATGGTTGCCTTGGTAAAGAATCCTTAACCATGGTTGTCTGAAATCCCTATTTAGGGGCTGATGACCACGCCAACCCGAAGCAATGGGCCGAGATACACAAACGGTGTCCAGGGGTGGGTGGACAAATGTGGCCATGGATGCCTGCCACATGCTTCTTAAAGATAAAACATTACCAGTCAAACTGACTCGCTCTTTGTTGACGATTCGGCCGGAAAAAGGAAGTGACCTAAGGCTCATGCTCATGACCTCTCCAATGCAGAGCCCAGACTCGTCAATAGAGAATCCATAGCGATCCTTCAAAACAGCCTTTAAAAACTTTGTCCCAAAAACCAATTTAAATTTTGAATTGTCTAGTTTGGTCACTGAAACCATGAAGCTGCAGTCAAACTTGGACTTGCAAGAGGCAGCAGAAGGTCAAGCGATAGGTCAAGCACTAAGACTTGTATCTGGATCCCTTTCCCCAGTAAAAAGGCCCAAACAAGTCCAACATGGTACTCCAACCATATGCTCCGCTTTCAATCAACCATGAAAGTGGACAGACCACTTTTGGAAGGTTTTTTGTATCAGTCAGATGAGGCCGACATATTCTATCCAGTGACAACTATGTCGGGCTAGTCTTTCGTGATTGTTGGAAAGTGGATAGTCTTGGCCCACATCTGGGGTTCACAGAAAAAGCAACATGACGCCATTCCATCTTTCGCTTACCCCTTAAAACTCCAAGCCTTGGGGAAGTTAATCTTTTACAGACATATAGCCCATGTTACCCAAAAGCTGAAAAGTTGTGTTTTTAAGAGGTAAGTTAGTATCCTGAAAATACAAAATCGTTGTGGAGGAGCCCCCAGTAAGGTCAGAAACTCAGGGAGTGAGTCAACCAGCTTTCAACGAAAGTGACCCATCTATCTGCCTCCACGCGATCACCCACTTCGAAGCGCAGATCCGCCTGATGCAGTTGACCGCATGAAACGAAACAAAAGAAACACATGTGGATGTGTATTAGGGCTAGTCGGCAAATTTGTTGATAACCAATGAAACATTGTGTGACTTCTGATGGTCCCTTTGCCCTTTTTAAGATTGGTTGAACTGGATATCAAAAGGGGAACCACGATAATGAACCCCCACCCCCCGTTTTTGTGTGACACATACCCATGGACCAACCTAGCACCTACCCGTCAATATGGTGAAATGAGACTGTGGAACGGTAGGTCGTCGTGCAACCCGTGAGCATGCAACTTGGCTTGGTCAATTGTCAAAAAGCCAAGGTGGCCATACAGTGTTTTGGTGGGATCACTTTCAAAGTGCCTCCAAACAAACCAAGTCTGGAATTTTGAACCGAGCCACCAGTCAACCTTCTTTTGGTTTCCACCACCCTCGAAGCTCTGCCGATATAATTCCCAAACAGCTGAAAGCTTTGGGGTCTCCGCCCAGAGAGGCTCGGCGGTGGACCGGGGCGGCTCTGAGGTAAGGTTCCGCATGGTTCCGCGAGCGTTCCGCTGGGTTCCGCGAGGGATCCGCAGGATGTTCCAGGAGGCTCTGTGCTGCGAAGGCTCAGGGGTTGGGGCGTCTGTGCTGCAAGGTTTCACACGTATGCGGCATCTACTTGCTGGTGCGATAGGCAGGGAATGAGAAATGGAATGAACCCACGGATTCCTGAATAAAGGAAACCACCAGTTGGATGGATTATAGGGGTCAATTCATTTCTCATTCCCTGCCTATCGCACCAGCGAGTCTATTCGCAGCGTGCGAAGTTGGCCGCGGGTCATTCTCTAGATATCCCTTGAACATCACAGACAAAGAAGCTCACTTTAAACCGGCCCAAACATTGTATTGCTGATAGTTCCAGGAGAAGAGGCATATAGGAACCTCACTACTGCAACTAGCGTAGAGCGACTTGGCTGCGTCTTGTTTTGAGGGACCCATGTTTGGGCTGTGTTAAAGTTGGAAGCGAACAGGCACTATCCAATTTTTGTGTGTCACCGGTTCAACCACAGAACCCGTACATCAAGGTTTTTTGGTCGGGGCATTTTCGGAGAGTAACTCCTTGGTTGGTGTCAAGGAAAACCAAAGGAAGCCGATGCATTTCCATGTGGGTTGTCCAGATCCTGTTTTGAGGGAGCTCCACGACGGCGCCCCAGGATGAATCAACCTCTTGTTGATTCATCAATTTGCAAGGTTTCTCAATACGTGATCGGCAATTCTGGGTTGGAGGGTGCCCCACAATTAGACTCATGGTCAAAGTTGCTTGCTTATCCTGAAGGACATTGGCAAATTGATGAGTCCCCTGCTTGTTATACATTGGGAAAAGGGACTATTCGAAATAAGTAGTAGAAAAAGAAGCTTGGACTTAGTAGAAAATGGACTTCTTGGCCTACGGGTAGGGCCTCAGACAAACCAAGTGGTAGAATCATCTACTAGAATGGCCAATGGGTACCACTGGTACTTGTGCCCACATCCCGCTTGCCAACTTGGCGGCATCTAAATATCCCTCGAGCCTCTACGGCCGGCACCTCTTCCGCCTGCAGGGGATCGAACATCCGGAACCCTCGTTTCAGGGAGCCAAAAACAGAACTGGTTGTCTAGCTCCTCCAGTAGAGAGGTTAGAATAAGGGTACCCGATTTTTTTTCTGTAGTCTATTGTAGTAGAGAACCCTCCCAACCCAAAAAAGGGGGTGAGAAAGGGCACTACTGGGGGACCTAGTTGTTTCAAAAGTACCCTTTGCAGCTGGGGTTTTGAAGGAAACCACCAAGAAACATGAGCATTGTCGGGGGTGTCAAATTTGGATCCCCTACCAGGGGGTCTCACTTTCAGTGGGTTAAATTGAACCTATAAAAACCACCAAGTTGTGTGACCCTTGTTTGATACCCAATTGGCTGGCTGCTTTAGCTTCAACCTTCTAGATGCCACCAAAGACAACGGGGTGACAACTTGCCATTTGAAAGAAGGTTCCGACGCATTTCCGGTAGTGTTGTATATTTATTCTATGGCACATTGCGAGTAATCAATGGAAAGGTCACGGACAAAACATGTTTGCCGGTTCTGCAACGATGCGTAGTTCGTTCACTTGACTTAACAAGGCTCTCTACCTTTCCCCTTCAAACACTAACCCACCAGGAGCCTTGAGCTCAGATCGACAACAAAAGCGATCTTTGACTTGTAAAGGGGAGATGCAAGGAACCCACTGCTTAAGGGATCCACTAGCAAGACCCTGGCAACCGCATGGATGGACGCCATACTGTGGATGGTTGCGCAATCCACTTCGCACCACGAAAGGAAACCACGGTTGATACCATAACGGTTTGTTGTGTTTTTGTTCGTTGGGGCATCGAACATCAGAAACTGTTGGGTTTCTGAACGGTGGCGCCGAAGAGGATTCTGCAAGCATCAGGATTTCCGTGCCTTCTAGTCCTGAAAACCTAGCCAAAGCTTCCAAATGCACCAAGCTTCAGCTCCCACCTCTGCTGCATCACGGCGGTCCCGGGGCCTGGGGAGTCGAAGTGATCCACCCAGATGCAACCAGTGGCTAGGGGAAGAAACCGCATCCGTCTTCTTCTTCTTTTTTTTTTGGGGGGGGAGGGGGTTGGTTGAGTTTAAAGGGAAGCTTTCCCCAAAAAGTCGAAAAAAGGGGGCGACATCGACTGAGAAAAGGGGCATCCTTTTCTTTTGGGTTGGTTGAGTGGAAAGGGAACCCTTCCCAAAACGAGAAACAATTAAAAAGGCACCACTGGGCAACTGGGCCTTCCAAAAATCCGGACTCTAGGGGGTCCAGATCTCATGCGGGTGGTGGCAACGAGAAGGTCGCACGCCGAGCAGATTGAACATCAATGGAGCCCAAAGACTCTTGAGACATGAGGGTCGAATTCTTGAAGCTCCAAACCATTCAAGTGGAGACCCCTTTCCATCCCCCTTCAACAAGTGCTCCAACGCTGCTTGCAACCAGTTTAGGCGGGAAAGCCCTTCTGGGGGCTTCCTGAATCCCCTGATAGAGGAGCAGAAAAACATGTTACACTCCTGTCCATGAACGTGGAATCTGACTGAGGGATCCTGCAAAACAACAATTCCCTTAAAAAAAGCATTTCTCTGGTGGGTTCCACGTTTCCACGTCTAGTTCTGAGGAACAGACTTGCAGGTCTTTAGGGCGACTAGCTCATGACTCCCAGCGCCGCAAACCAACGAGGGCCTACCTGACGAGTACATGAGCAACACAGAGGCGTAGCCCCAAACTTACCCGGTGGATCCCAAGTCCTCAACCAGCCATACCTCACTTGCCCAAATGACCTGGAAATAAACATTAACCTTTTGGGACCTTTACTAAAAATGAACCAAAATTGGAAAACCAAAAGGCCAGAAGGTCGGCCTTGGGCAAGTGAGATACTCCTGGTTGTTCCTACAGGAATTGATTGCCTTGGTTGCCTACAGAGGTCCACGAATCCACAGGGCTCAACATGAACAGAATCTAAATAAGCGAAACACCAAACAACGAGATCGACGATACCTGGAACTGCGCAACGGGGCGGGCCATGAGAACCTACTTTGCCAATCCAGAACAACTGTCAAATTGTCAGTCACTATGTCCCCCTGGGTCCGGGGGCGGTTTCGAATTGGGAATGGCGCGTGGACCAGGACCCCAGGGGGCGGCACTAAGGACCGGAATATTGTGTTGATTGTTTTTTGCTCGTTCCTTTTTCCGTTTCGGTCCGATGAGCACCTGGTTCATGATTCCCTGTTCGCCCTCGGAGCGACAGTGCCTTTTTTCTTTTCTGTTTTTGCTTGTTCTCTTGTTTTTTTGCGGCCCCGCGCCGGCCCACGCGGCAGAAGCCGGGAGGACGGCTTTGTGGTGACAGGTGTGTTCAGCAGACCAAAGCAAGCGCAGGTTCTTTTGCTGCCATCCTGGACGACGACTCCGTGGTGGGTGGTTCGGGCTCACGCCCGGGTGGTTCGGGCTCATGCCCGGGTGGTTCGGGCTCATGCCCGGGTGGTTCGGGCTCACACCCGGGTGGGAGATCGTGTCCTTGGCGGTGACAGCAGCCAGGTGGGAGAGCAGTTGGCGCCAGCAGATCCAATCAACTCAGAGTGCTTATGCTGCCATCCTGGAGGCTCTGTGGTGACAAGTGTGTTCAGCAGATCAAAGCAAGTGCAGGCGCTTCCTGGCCGACGGCTCCGTGGTGGGTGGTCATGCCCGGGTGGAGCGGGCTCACGCCCGGGTGGTTCGGGCTCACGCCCGGGTGGTTCGGGCTCATGCCCGGGTGGAGCGGGCTCACATCTGACTTAGGGAGATTGTGTTTTTGGCGGTGACAGCAGCCAGGTGGGAGAGCAGTTGGTGCGCGTCCAGTAGATCCAATCAACTCAGAGTGCTTTTGCTGCCATCCTGGAGGACGGCTTTGTGGTGACAGGTGTGTTCAGCAGACCCGAGCAAGTGCAAGCGCTTTTGCTGCCATCCTGGCTGACGGCTCCGTGGTGGGTGGCTCGGGCTCACGCCCGGGTGGTACGGGCTCGGGCCCGGTTGGCGTGGGAACCTGGGCCCTTTCGGGGCGATTTTCGGCAACGCACTGGCTTCCCCCCTCCCTCCCCTTGTTTGTTCTAGCTGTTTGGCTGGCAATGACGCATGCGGAGCCAGTCCCGGGCCTGATCCCGAGCGGGCCACCGCTGGGGGGAGGCTGCCCGGTTTGTGGCTCTGGTACACCAGAAGCTGTTTCTCTCTCTCTCTCTCTCTCTCTCTCTGTCAGTCACTATGTTGCTTGGGCCATGTGATGGACGCAAATGTCCATTGCGGCTGAGCATGGTCATTCCCACCCAAAAAAAAACGATAATCTTACAAACCACGGGTGCAACACCAACCAGTTCCCAGGTCCTTTGAGGAGACTCCAAGAAAGCCAAGAAATCACTCCACGTCCCCGAAATTTGGACAGGTCGCCTCATTCTATGGAGTGAGATGCCTTCCTAGCGTGTGGGCAATGTTGGGGGATTCCCCGTTTTTTGCTGGGGGCTTGGGGAACCTCCCTCCAACAGATGGAAAAACAGGCACCTCGGAGGTGACAGGAGAGAAAAGTGACCGCCGCGGCGCGAGAGACACACCGGTGCTGGGCATTGCGGCCAAGTGGAGTCTTCGCTGGTCTCCAGGAGGAAGGCTCCAGCGTCCCAGCCCTGGGCAAGTTGTGGCCATCCCGTGTCAAGTTAGACCCATGGCTGATGGCTTGCCACCAAAGGACAGCCCTGGGCAAGATGTGGCCATTTGTTGGGGTCAAGATAGACCGATGGCTTTTTCAGGACGATCATGTACCATCTCGGAACCCATTTGTTGGAACCCATTTAGGGTCCTCCCAATCAAGGGAAACCGGGAGACCAAACCATGTTCGTTTGTTGTTCCGGATCTCTTCAATCGGTCGCGCCCCCCCCCCGTAAAGCAGGATTTGAGAGTGCGGGGTCAACAATAAGTGATTGGTAACCCTGGCTCTTAGAACCTACGTGCAGCTGTTGTAATTCCCCTAAGTGCGGTATAACCAGCAATAGTTGCTAAGCACTGACTATGCAGCTGATAGCCTCCTTAAGGAGAATTCTCTGCCAGGTGTTGCTCCAAAATCCCAAGGCAGAAAAAGGGCAGCCCAGAAAAGGAAACCCACATGATGGCAAACCCTTGAGGGTTGATCATCTTCGAGAGGCGGCCGGGGGGGGGGGAAATCCTTCTCAATGAAACTAGTGAAAGACCTTCCCAATTACAAATGCCCTTGGTGAAAAGGGAACCCAAAAGGAAAACTACAATTTTAGGGGTCACTGTAGAAGTGATCCTGTGCAAGTACAGCACCCTATGGACACAGACCCATATGTCCTGCCGAAGTGGGAACCCACGACAGCTCAGACATCAAGACAAGGACCCCTGCGCCCAACCCGTAGAGCCAATCCTTCTCTCGAAGTTACGCATGTGTTTTGCCGACTTCCCTTACCTACGGGTGTGAATAAGTCTGTCCCGGGTTTTCAAGGGCAGTTGAGAGCGCACCAAACACCTCGGAGGACATGGTGCTTCGATCAACGGGGCCTATACTATAACCATGTCTAAAGCCCTTTTGCGCCGCAACTGTCCTTTCTGAAAGCGGGTCTGTGCTAAACAGCGTGAATCTGTTTTTGCGGCCCGCCCCCTTTAAGAGAACAATAAACAACATACATATCGAAAACAAAAAAAGACACAAACTTAACTTATGCTAACAAGGTGTCATGAAAATGTCACCACCAATTGAGTCATGCATATTCATGTCTTTGCAGCACCTTCAAAAAGAACCAACGAAGCGCACCACTGCCTTCCCCTCCAGGAACTCGTCTATGGACATCAGGGGGTTCTGCACCAGTCGCCACTGCTCGCCTGGCAGAGTGCTTTTTTTGCACCCGGTGAAACTTCAGGTCAGCCTGGGCGGTTTGGATTGGTGGAATTTGAGAAAAAGACCTAAAGAATTTGGTGGATTGGATTATTTTAGCTAATCTAATTTTAGCTAATTTTGGATTGGTGGAATTTGAACCCATTCTTGTACCCTAAGAATCTTGGGACCTCAGAAAGATTTGGCAATTTTGAGGTCAACATGGACCCGCAATACAGATCCACACCCCTCCAATGGAGAGTCCAATGATGCTTAGGGAAAAGGTAAATGGGGAAGAAACAAAACACCACACTTCACCAATCCAAGTTCCACCTTGAGGGCTGAAAACCGAGCTAGTCCCTAGGTTGGCATGATTTTGCAGCCCCAAAACGAATTGAAGGATTCACTATATCATGGGGCTTGGGGGGAGGGAGGGGAGGGGGAGGGAGCCCAAATAAGCCTCAAATAAGACCTTATTACGGGCTTAATAAGGGCTTATTTGGGCTCCAACACAGGTTCGGTGCCCTTTGATCAGATTGGTGCCCTCACGCGCTTCTTCCAATTCAAAACTCCTACGCTCACACAGGGGAGGACTGAACGAGCAAGCCAAGGCCCTTCCCCGCACATGTGAACTTGTTCTTTGCCATGACTTGAGTGTTCCAACCAAAGGGCTGACTTAGAATCCATTTTCTTGGCTTGAGTTCAGTATTCCAAAGAGCAGTTGTTTTCTCTTGATTATTTGTTTAAAAGAAAGAAAAACATGTTCTTTGTCGCCGGTTCACTTTTCCAAAGACAAAGCAGCATACGTAGATCGTTCACGCTCTCTTTTGTTAAACTAAATAGTTTCGTTGTCCAACCAAGACAACTCCACCTGTTCCCTGCTTTTCGCGTATCTATTATCCCAGGCCGTTGACCAGGTGTGTGGGCTGAAGACAGGAGTTCTGTGGACGTCCCAGCAGGCCCTGCAACAACCTCCTCCCGCGAATTCCGAGACCCTGGCACCCAGAGGCTTCCGTTGGCGGCAACATATCCGCAGGACTGGAGATATGATCGATGGAAGCGAAGGAACCTGAGCTTGGGAGGCGTCCCTACTTCTTTTTGTTTCGGGGAAGCACCCTCAAGAAATCCGATCCGAAATCCAAGAAAAAACTACCCGTGGAAATCACCAACCAAAACGTTGGTTGGCATTGCCACCCAATTGTTTAAGGGTAGGTTGAGGGTCCAGGCACCCCAGCCCTTGAAGAGATGCCCTTGGAAACAGCTCTGAGGACCCCAAAAGATCGGGAACTCCAGATCCCGCTGCCATGATAAGCAACACCCCAAAACCCAAGCCAACTTGAGTCACAATCAAAACCTACCCAAAGCCACAAGCCAAAAAAAAAACAACACAAGAGACCACCCTTCATTTTGGACCATCCGTTAACCTTCACTTACCCGGGTTTCTCACTTTATCAGTATTTTCGGATTCCAAGGTCATGTAATTGCCATAAGAATTAAGACGAGTGGGTTGAGGGTCCAGGACCTTGAAATCGGAATCACATCCGCATCTGCATTCCATTCACCGCCTGCCCCATCGACGTCGCTACCACGCCTTTGGAGCGGTGCCACAGCCGCGACCGGTCCGCGGGCTTCTGCAACTTCTCCGACAGCATGGACAGAGTCTGCCATAGCAGGCATGGGAGTTTCAACCCACGAGCAAGTGGAGCGCAAAACAGAACCAGCGATGCGTCTCGTGGAATGCGTTTGGTTTGCAATGAAAATACGGAAATCATGGTTTTCATAGACCTTTATAGACCCCAGAAAAAAGCCAGGTAGTATGACATCCCAGAGTCTGCAGAAGTC